CACACACACACACACACACACACACCATACCACTACAAGACTATTTCAACAAATGGATTACGTACGGTGGACCTGCTCACCAACAGTCAGGGCCGCCGGGATGTTGTAATGAGCTCAAGGAATCAGAACATCTACAGTGCCCTCAAAAATACTCCTAGGAAAAGTAAGTAAGTAAGTAAGTAAAAGAAATACTGCTGACTCTTGGGATGAGGGGAAATGGTCAAATGGGAAAGACAGGTGGAACAGGTGTTTGATATTGTCAGCCCGCCACAGTTAGATAGCAGTGGAAATAATGTTGACTCTCACGGTGGGGGGATGAAGCAACGAAGATGTACAGAACTAGGCCAGCAGGGGAGGGCACGGGAGGAAGAAGATGAGGACCTAAACCCTCAGGACGGAAGGCATGTCTGAACAAAGAGTTAACCAATGTCTTCCACCTCATTGCAGCAGGGATGGCAAAGGCAGAGGAAATCTCGCTGCCATCGAGTCGATGCTGACTCGTAGGGACCCTTTAGGAGGGTGAAAAGGCACCTATGGGTGTTTGAGACTGTAACTCTTGACCGGAGTAGAAAGCCTGTCTTTCTTCTGTGCGCTGGCTGATGGTGTCTTGAACTGCTAAACTTAGGGAAGGCAGCCCGATGTGTAACCGTGACACCACCAGGGCTCCTCAGTTAGAAGGGTAAGACCCTCCCAACACAGAAAGGATCCCCAAAGGGTTCCTGAGGACTTCTTCTGCCACATGGCCATTAAGAACAAGAACAAGAAAAGTTCTGTACCACCTCCCTGGGTCTCCTACTTTAGGAAACTGACGAGGCTGTCTATCTAAAGTGCAACTATTGGTCTCTCTGTCTAGAGGAAAGATAAGTGAAAAGCAGCCATTCGGTGAACTAATGGACCACGCAGACATCAGTTCCCAGGACGCTGAGACCAGAAGAACTAGATGGTGCCCGGCGACCAACACCAACTGCTCTGAAAAGGATCCCATTAGAAGGCCCTAAGTAGAGTACAAGAAAAAAATGTGAAACAAAACTCAGAATCGTCAGAAACCAGATGATCAACGGCCAGATAGAGACAGGCAGGACCCTCAAGACCATGGCTCTGGGTCACCCTCCAGATCGAGAACTGAACTCGCCTCCGAGGTAAAACTATCAACCAGTTCAGATCAAAAGGATAGCATTTACTCAAGGAAAAAGCCCCAGGAGGTTAGGAAGGGATGAGGACGCTCAGGGAGGGCCTGGGATGAGTGACGTCGCATGGAGGGGACTGGAACGGATGAGCTGAATCTAAGTGTGTGTGACTTGAATGCACAACTGCGAGCTCAGAGGCTTCCACCTAATGCATCCTAGAAAGTTACATTAAAAAAAAAGAAAGATGAGGTTATCTGCTCCCGCCAAGATTTATCGTCCAGGAAATCCCACCGAGCAGTTCTGACAACTCTGTCCTACAAAGTGGCTATGAGTTGAACTCAACGCAAAGACAGTGGGTTTTTGGGGGGCTGGTAGTATTCTTATTGTGTGCTGTGTTATCAGACTTCCGATGTTTCCATAGAGGGTCGCTATGAGCTGGAACCGACTCGGTTAGCCGTGAGTGTGGGTTTTTTTCTTTGGTTTTTTTTTTAGTGTTTTTGGTAGTGTGCCTTGAAGGTTTTATATGCTTAGAAAGGTAACATATAGACGATGCACTAAGAAAAACATTTGACTTCCTGATGCTACAGAAGAGCCCTGGGTACCAGTTTCTACTTCAAGACAGACTTCAGCCTTGATCTGGTTCATAACCCGGGGACTGCCGGCAGAGCCCGCTTCTTCCACAACCCCGTAACTGAAACAGCGAGTAAAGAGCGCGTTAGCGTCCTGCATTACCTACGATGGTAACCAAAGTTGATTTACTGGGATGCTCCGAAGAGGAACAAGTGTAGGATCCAGTGTCGTTTCTTCCCACTGATGATACAAAAGCAAACAGAAGCCGTATCATAGTTCTGTTTGTAGAATAGGAACTCATCTCAAAGAAGCTGCCCTAGATTTTAATGAAACAGAGTTTGAATGTAATGGTTTCAACCTAGACTCGCATTTTCACTGTTCCTGTCTAATCAGAATGCTAACAGGTGCCCTTACCTCGGCCAGGGGCTTGTTCCCGAGTTCCCATTTGAGTTCGAATCGATAGTCCACATGCACAGCCCTGCATCGGATCCACAGCGGCTCCCCGACTTTAAGAAAGATCTGGGGTGGTGCTCTCTGGGGACTTGCGTTTAGATCTAGAAGATCAAGAGACCACCAGTAAGGAAAAGAGGAGTTTTCTGGGCCCCCTCAGCTCCAAACACACTCTGCACCCTCTGGAGAGTCGCCATGTGCAAGTCCTCTCCAAAGAAGCGCAAGCACAGAGACCCTTTCCTCTCTGCGCCCAGCAAGACGAGCAAACAGCTCCAGCCCCCAGAGGACTCAGGACCCGTGGCTTTGAAAACGGAGGCGGGGCGGGGCTTTTTGTTTTTGATTTTCTGACGTTGGACCTTGGACCGTGTTCCTGGAGCCGCGAGCCTTCGCCCCAGCTGGTTTCAAAGTCGAAGATGCTGAAAATAAAGGGACATCGCGGGACAGCGTTACCTACGGTGAACAGCTCGGTACACTCCCTGCCGAATTCATTTTGCGCGCAGCATCTCATGTGTGTTCCAAATAACTCGTGGAGTATCTTCCCCTCCTTCCTCACGAGAGCCGGACCTTCCTCTTTGCAGCTGCAATTAGGAAATGGAGGCCATGTCACTGGGACACGAGTTCAAAGCACAACCATCCCAGAGAACGGAGTTGACAGGTTAGCGGCCACTTTCGGGGAGGGAAGCAGAGAGTGGGTCAGAGGATACGCCCAGGGCTCCGGGATTGGCAAAGAGCACGAGCCAAGGAGCTGGTCACACACGCGTTAGAATGAACCCGAGCCATGACAGGAACACTTTTGCATTTGGCCACCTCTTTCTTCTTAGTTTAGTTTTGTTTTGTAAGAGAGAAAAAGAAGGGGGAAAGGATGCAGAAGATAAAGAGAGAGAGAGAGTGAAAGAAAGGAAAAGAAAGGAAAAGAAGGACATCATTGGGTTTGGGTAAGCTTAATCAGCCCCAAACCGGAACTGGCTTGAGGGCAGTGAGTTTGGTTTCTTTAGTCCCCATTTCTATACGATTGGTAGTTTTTAATTCGCTGACATTGCCTGAATCTGTACGCTTGTGAGAACGAGGTCCGGTGGGGCTTCAGGGTAAGCACTGGATTACTAATTGCAAGGTTGGCAATTCAAACCCACCAACCGCTCTTAAGGGAAAGATGAGGCTGCCTGTCCCTGTAAGGGTGCCCCCACCCCCCAACTAAACGTTCCCCCTCATCCTCCTGGTGCAGCCCATCGTCTTTCTGTGAGGAGCCAGGGTTTCTTGTTTCAGTGAGAAGGAAGCTGCCCCAACCATAGGAGAGAAAACTCCAACCACACTCCCTGTCACCAAGTTCACCCTGACTCAGGGCGACGCTATGGGGCAGCATAGAGCAACCCTGTGGGCTTTGGAGGCTGTAAACCATTCGGAGGGCAGACAGCCTCATCCTGCTCCGGTGGGTTTGAGTCATGGCCTTGGGGTTACCAGCTCAATATGAGCCCACTATGCTCCCTCAGCTCCATAGGAGAAAAAGAGCCTCCTCATCCCCACCCCCCCAATAGTCCAATAATAATAGCAGCTCTCCCATGAGACAGGTCATACCTGTCACTCTGTGATTCGCAGAACACCCATTCCACCACTGGCTCTGGGATCCCCTCTGAGACGCAGAGCAGGGCGTCTTGACTCTCCAGCCATCTGAAGTAGGGTCTTCTTAATGGAAAAAGCAGTCGGCCTGAAGTGTCACCAAGTAGCAGCATGTTAGCATTTTCAGAAGAATGGCCGAGCAACCAAAAATACAACGCCAAACAATAAAACACCAACACCATCCAGAAAAATCCATACTGGATATCCAGCGGCGTCTCCTGCCCTCCCTGGCCCTCACGCCCTTGCCCCGCAGGTTACATTTGACCCTGGCTGCAATGCCAAAGTGTACTTTCATCTCCTTGGCCAACAGCCTGGAGAATTTGACAAATCTTGGGATAAGGTAAGTCGGTGGAATGAAACCACGTGAAAATGTAAACATTAATATGTATAAAATCCAAAACAAAACCCACTGCCATCGAGTCAATTCTGACTCATACTGACCCTCTTAAGGCAGAGTAGAGCTGCTCCTGAGGGTTTCCGAGGCTGTACCTCTTTACGGGAGTGGAAAGCCTCCTCTTTCTCTCGTGAATTGGCTGGTGGTTTCGAAATGCTGACCTTGGGCAGGGAGGGAGCAACTCGGGGGCCCACTCTGCCACCAGGGCTCTTCCTTGACATGCACAGGAAGAGGAGAACTAGTGAAAGTATGTGGAGAACCCATCCTGAGCACAGAAGGAGCCCTGATGGATGGCACAGTGGGGGACAAGTGTGTTGGGCTGCTAACCTTAACCCCCCAGCCACTCTTGGGCAGAAAGATGATGCTTTGTACACCCATGAAGGTTTACAACCTTGGAAATTCAAAGGGGCAGTTCTACTTTCTCCTATAGTGTCGCTACCAGTCGGCATCTACTTGATGACCGTGAGTTTTTGAGTTTGACTTGACCTGTAATTGAAAACCCTATGTCCACCCCAGGATGTTACCTGGACCCGAGTGGGGAGAGACTGAGAGCTGAGTATGTGCAAGCAGAGGCGGATGGGATTGGGATCTGAATGGAATGAAGAGGTTTGGCGTCACCTCCCATTCACTGCGCTCCTCCACTCCCTCCTCCCTTCCTCTCCCTACAGGTCCCAACTGCCCCCTCCCCTATAAGCAACAAACACCCCTTGTCCTTTGGCTTGGACCACTCCAGGGACAGTAGCTCTCTGCCTGCAGGACAGATCACTGCGTTATTCATGGTGGACCGTTTGGTTTTTACTTTAAAAACGTGACCTTATTTGGACTTCCGGTCTCTGGCTTTATAATCAACTTGGCTTTAACAAGTATGTAGTGTATGTAGGTGTGCACATACACATGTCTATTTATTACTACATACAAGTATATATGAACAGATTTATTACTATATACAAGTATATATGAACAGATAAGGTATACAGTTTGAAGCATAATCACAAAGTCCAATTCCCAGGCACCCTCTGCCCAGCGTGGTACCTGGAGGAGTAATGAAGACACTGGAACCTACCTCCCCATCTCGAGATCCCAAGTAACCAATCTCCTGAACCCCGTGCTGGTTTCTAACTGCTGACCTTGTTGTTAGCAGCCCAGCATGTGACCCCGACAACATCAGGGTCACCTTATTTGCAGAAGCAGACTGCCTCCTGCTTCTCCCTTGGAGCAGCTGATGGGTTCGAACCGCCGATCTTGAGTTAGCAGCCCAACGGTTAACCAACTGGAGTGCTAGGGCTTTCCCCACCCCCCAGACGGGGGCAGCCTGGGAAACTCTCTGGGGGCAGATCTACTGTGTCACATGGGGTGGCACAGGGAACTAGCACCTCAGCAGCAGCTGACAACCACAGCAATAACAATGCTACTAACTGAAATGCAACCTTTTATGAAGGTTTGCGCTTCGTGGCTATTGGCTGAGGGGGTTGGCAACGGCCTACCAGTGTCTTGTATCCTGTTGGTCAGTTTCCTGTTGTTTCCTCACTGTCATGTAGTATTCCGCGGGTGCGCACAGCATGACGTATGCTTTTATTTTCTTGTGTGAGTAACGATATCGCCATGAGCGCTATAGGAGGCTACAGAGCCTCCATCCTGCCCCTCATCACAGTCTCTCTAACAATACACCTGGTTGCAGGGTGGGGAGCGGAGCTGTTAGCTTGTAGGATGTGAGCAAGTGCAGTTTGGCCTGATGCTAATCGGTCGTCAACGTGGACAGCAGGCTGGAGCACTCTCACAGCCGGGGCGTTCATGAAGTCCCCGCAGCGTTTGCTGATCGAGTGGGCAGAAGACGGAATCTCTCTGGGACCTTCATTTGCATTTCTGATGACCAACGAGGCTCCACTTCTTGTAACAGCTTTGCCGGCCACCGAAGCATCCTACTGTAGATGTGCAAGATCTGTTGGTGTGGCTGGCTCACGTTTCCATGGTCTGGAGGGCTTGTAGCAGATTGTGCGACATACTGTGACTGCTAACGCTTTGTTTATTATGAGGATTGCAAGTATCTGTTCCCGTTTTGTGGTTTGTGCTTTCTCTCCGTGTTGTCTAACCATTGGCCCCAGTTCTCCCCTCCGGGGCGATGAACAATCAAGTCTAGCCTCCTTTGCAGACCTCATGGTGGGTGTTGCTGTCAATGTCAACTCCCTGCAAGCCTGTGTGACAGTGGACAGCTGCCCAGGAGGATGTCCTAGGCCCTGTCACTCATGGGAAAGGACCCCTCGTGGTGCAGCTCTTACCTGCCAATCTAAAGGTTCCCAGTGGGAGCTCCACTAGCCACCCTGCTCTGCCTCCTTGAAGATTCCAGCCTTGGAAACACTGTGGGGTCGTTCGTTGTCCTCTATGAGTTGATGTAATGGGGCTGATTTGGGGTATAATCGTTAAGGAGGAGATTGCCAGGCCCTTCCTCTCACGGAGCCCCTTGCTGCGGTTGAGAGACGTTGACTCAGTTCTCACCCTTTGTGACCTTGTGTACAACAGAACGGACCCATTCTCACAAATGCTTCGTGTGAGGCCATCGTTGTAGCCACCATGTCCATCCATCACCTTGAAGGTCTTCTTTCTCTATGCCCTTTTCCAAGGACCGGCCCCTGTGACAACCTGTCCAAAGTCCGTGAGACGAAGTCTTGCCATCCTTGGTTCCAAGAAGCCAGCATTCTGATGTAGTTCTTCCAGAACAGATGCTTGTTGTCCACGGTACTTCCGAGACTCTTCACTAGCACGTCATTCAGAGGCATTGATTCTTCTTTGGTCATTCTTGGTCAAGGTCCAACTGTCACATGTATATGATTTAAAACACCACGGCTTGGGTCAGGTAGACTTTAGTCCTCAAAGGGACACAGCACTTGAAATGGAGTCCCTGGTGGGTTTTAAATGCGAACCTTAAGACACTTCAAATATTAAAAAGAAACTAAGGGCAAGGGAGGACATGACCATCTGACATGTTAGAATGAGCCAGTTTCCCCCGACGTTACTTCATTCTTCTCCTCGCCTCAAGGTAGGTTCTTTTCTCGGCTGGGCATTCCTAGCCCCTGATTTGCTCCCAGTTTAATGAATTCCAAGTTCTCCATCATCCCAATTACCCTGTTTTACCATTCCTAATCTGAAACAATGAAAAGTAAAAGTCATAACTAGCTATTAACTCCCTTCATCTATATCTTCTAAGAAGGAGCCTTGGTGGCACTGTGATTTAGGCACCAGCCTGCTCACCTCAACGTCAGATGTTCAAACCCACCAGCTGCTCTGTGGGGGAAAGGTGAGGCTGTGTGCTGTGGTAAAGATTCGTAGTCTCAGAAACACTACACATGGTTACCCTGAGTCGGAATCTACCCAAAGGCAGTGGGCATACTTTATAAGAACCTGGTTGTGCACTGCTTCAGCTCCCTGCTGCTAACTGAGAAAGAACCGAGGTTTGAACCCGCTAGCTGGCCAGCAGGAGAAAGTTGAGGCTGTCTGATTCTACAGAAATGTGTAGCCTGGAAAAGCCTACTGGGCGATTGTACGTTCCCTGTCTTTCAGATCACATTGAGTCAGAACAGACTCGATGGCAACGGCTCTGTGTGTGTGTGTGTGTGTGTGTGTGTATTTTTTTTTACACACTAGGTTAAATTTTACTCTTTCAGGAACCATGTCCTACTGTGGCCAAAATACTGAACTTGTGGTTGACTAAGCCCGTTACTCTTTTTCACATTGACTCTTGGTTGCCAAGTCTTCCCCATCCGATACTTTGGACCCCGCCCCACCTCATTTGTAGTGAAATGCTAAAAACATGTTCCTTTCCTTGTGTGATGGTTGTCACATTGTGAAACTGTCGCTCTGAAATGGAAGGACCAAGCCCACCGCCACGCAGCCCATTCCAAGTCTCCGGTTTCCAGAGTGGTGGACCCGGACAGAAGCAGCCAGCCTGGTCTTTCTCCCCAGGTGGGCTTGAACTGCGCTCCTCAGAGCTCCAGTAGCTGGAGTGTCAGACACAGGCCACCAAGGGTTCCTTCAGAGCCATCCCCAGGTGTGCTCAAACCTCCAGCCTTGCTGGCTCGCAGCCAAGAGTGTCCACATCGAGCCCAGCTGGGGACCCCACAGGGAAGGGAGCTGTGTCACATGGGGTCGCCTGAGGGAGACATCACCTCAACAGCGGTACTGACGGACAATGGAAGCTTCCACGAAGGTTTGCACTTCGTGACGGTTGGCTGTCCAGTCCGTTAGCTTCTTGTCATTTTCTTACTTCACATCGCATTCCTCTGGGGCGCACGCACGACATGACGTAATGGATGCTTCCCTTTTCTTGCGCTAGTTGCAATATTGCCACGCGCACTGAACTCACACGGGCTATGCTGAGCCTTTCTGGAGCATTCTTCCAACGCCGAAACCCACCAGGACCTACATGCACCCCCAATCAGCTCGGGTCTTTAAGGCAACGCAACAGGGCCAGTAGTCGCCCACTCCCACCTCCCTCTGCAATCACCGGGCTTGGCCACAACTGGGACCCAAGGGGCGGGGCTGCCATCCTCGGCGAGCATGTGTGGACGATGCTGTGGAGTTGGCCGGCTTCCTTTCTGAAACACTTGATCCTAATGTCTCTTCGCTTCGTAAAAGCTTTCAGAGCCACTTAGTTTCCCATCTGGTCATTTGTACCCGTGTTGCTTTGTTACAATGTCTGCCACCCCGGTCTTCCTGTTTCTTCTCTGGGTGCGGGCTCTCCATTCCCCGCTTCTGCCTGCCACGGGAGTTGGGCAAACGCTGCCTACTGAGCCCGCATTCTTATGGACCTGCGCGGCCCACGTCAGTAGCCCCTAGCTCCATGCGGCTGTTGAAATGTAAGTTTTAACTAATGAAAATGAAATTCACATTTGATTTCCACCAGGGCTGTTTTCCCTCACGCTCCCTCAGACTCTTGGGAACCCTAGAAGACAAGGTAGAACTGCCCCATAGGGTTTCCCAGGCTGTCAGTCTCGATGCAAGCATAAGACCTCTTCTTTCTCCTGCTGACCGGCTAGTGGGTTCAAACCTCTGATCTTTCTCGGTTAGCAGATGAGCGCTTAACCACTGCATCACCAGGGCTTCTTATAACGTCTCCCTACTGCTGCTGCGCCCATTCTGACTCAGGGCAGGCCTACAGCAGGTTTCTGGGGGTGCACGCCTCTAGGGAGGCAGATAGACTTGCCCTGCCCCCACAGAGGGCTCGTGTTCTGGGTCACCGCCAACTGCTTAACCATTGAGCCCAGGGCTCCTTGCCGGTGACTTTGTGGTTACTCGATCGGACAACACAGACAGTTTCACCGTCTTAGCAAGTTTTTGCTTTGTGTTTTCTTTTGAACGTTTTGCCTTTCTATGTACAATGGGCATGATCTCGTCCTCATAGCGTTCCCATGATTTTTCCTTTGTTGAAAGTGCACACAAGCCCTTTCAGCCCTCGCTGTGTGCCCAGTTCAGGGACAGGGGTACTTTCTTCCAGGGTTCTTCCAGGGTTACCTTTCTCACGGTTCTTGCCCACATGCCTCCCCCACCTTCGTCTTACGCTCATGACCCGCAGAGCTTCTCATCCAACCTTTCAAGTGGCGGCTGTCAATCTCGTCTCACACAGACCGTTCTTGAAAAGCGCACCAGGCACAAGAAGACCTACTTTGCGAATTCAGATAAGCGGGTTCACGGCTGCTTTGAGGACCCAGGTGGGCCATGGTCTTTTCCCTCGTCTCGTGTGCACAGGAAAGTTGAACATTGGGTAAGGGAGATGGGACTAGGACCGCTGCCTCTGAATGGCAGTGCTGCTGGAGAAGACTGTGAAAAGACCGTGGACTGCCTAAAGGACACACCTATCTGCCTGGGAAGAAGTACAGCCAGAGCGATCGTCAGCGGCAAGGGCGGTGAGACTTCATCTGGGACTTGGGACGTGCTGTCAGGAGAGAACAGTCCCTGGAAATGGACATCGGGCTTGGCAAAGCAGCAGAAAAAGAGGAAGACCCTCAGTAGGACGGACTGACACAGTGGCCGCAGCGACGGACTCAAGTGGAAGGACCACGAGAGGGCGACACAAGACCCGGTGGTTTCGTTCTTAGTGCACAGCTCAGCTGAGTCAGAACCAGCTCCACGGAGCCCAGCAACAACGATCACGGCTTATGGCTCAGAGAACAGACACTTCGGGAGACACTTCTGGCTTAAGGTTTAAAGTCTAAGGATGATTTCAGGGCAATTGTTCTGGGGGGTCGTCTGGCCTCGGTGGCTCCAGAAAGTCGTGATTCCCCTGACATCTCGGCAAGGCTCACCGGACAGGCTGAGGCCGTAGAATCCATGAAATGTGTATTTTCAGTCTCATTTTATAGGTAAGGAAACTGAGATTCAGAGGGATTACATGATTTGCCACTGGTGTTAGTTTCAGATCAAGAATTAGAACCAAAATCTCAGAGGAGAAACCAGTCCACAGGGCTGAGCGCTTACCTGAGCCACAGCCTCATTCACCCTGAGACCAGAAGAGCTAGATGGTGCCCGGCTACCCCTGCCAACTGCTTTCATCAAAGTCACAGTAGGTGGAAAACACAGAAGCAGCACTAACACTTTTTAAAAGTCTAGACTTACTGGGGTCAGTCGAAACTAAAGGCCTCCCTGAGACTGCTCACCTGAGATTTTCTTTAAACCTTGAATCAGAACTGTCCCCCTGAGATCACCTCGGAGTGAGATAACACAGAGACTGTATGCACAATCAGGATATCCCGAGATTACTTACCCAAACAAAACACAATGGAACCAAAGACCATGTCTATGAGGTCAAAAGGTCAACCACAGCAAAGATGAGGAAATAAGAGGGCAGGTAAACGACATGAGATGATAAGGGACCAGGGAGACTAGAGTCCCCGAAATGGAACAACCAGAAAGCAATTCACGAAAATGTCCCACATTGTGGCAAACATCTTGGCATTCACACTTCCTGCGTATAAAGAAATAGTCCAATGGGAATCTGATTTGCTGGGTGCAAACTTACACCAAAAAAAACCACCCCACAGTGAAATATTTAAAATAATAATTGGGACCCAGGTCTTTAAGTCCAGAAATGTTTTCTACTTCCTCCTGAAGACAGGAGGGCCTGAAGAGAGGGTGCCCCACCCCCGGCTGGTCTGCACCCCGGGCTGACCCGACCCCACTCCTCGGCCGGGCAGCAGGAGGCACTTACTTCTCAGGCCCACTGTAAAGGAGATGGTGTAGTTGGCTGCTTCACTGTGGATCAGCAACAGGTATTCTCCGGCTTGGCTTTCGGTCATTTTCCAAATGACCAGAGAGACAATTCCCCTGGCAAAACAGGAAGGTGAACTTGTTATTTTGGAATGTTTGTGGAACTAGAAATGTAGACTTTCACCCTGAGTCAGCAGCAGGCTGGCCCCGAGCTGGGCTCCCATGCCCAGCCGTTGAGGAGCACGCAGCCTTACCTGAGCTTGTGGGGGGATGACCTTCGATTTTAGCCAGTCCCTTGTAGCACCCACCTTGCTGCGCCCCCCACCTCCATCCCCACCTCACCAGGAGCCCTGGTGGTATAGTGGCTATGTGTTGGGCTGCTAACCTCAAGGTCAGTGGTGTAAACCCCCAGCCACTCCAAAGGAGAACGAGCTTGCTACTTCTGTAAAGCGTTACAATCTGGGAAACCCACGGGGGCAGTTCTACCTGCCCTATAGGGTCTCTGTGAGTCAGAATGGTTTGATGGCGGTGGGTCTGGAGTTCCTCCTTCCTTCCTTGCTTTGAGTTGTGCTCCCCCACCCCTGAGTAGGAAAGATGCCCCTCCAGACTTGACCACCCCCCAAAAGAGGAAGCCCCTCCAGGAGACAGATGGACACGGTGGCTGCAGAAAGGGGCTGAGAGACAGTGGCGATGATGGGGATGACCAGGAGCAGGCTGTGTGTCCTTCTGTTCTGCACTGGGCTGTGGTCATATTTACCCAGCAGCCCCCATCCCAACATCAGGTCCCCAGTGGTGGGAGCAGATGGCCGTGACACCTATCTCCCGAGATCGCTCTGGGCGCACTTCCCCTTGACTTTCTGTAAAACTCAAGCCAAACCCCTTGCTGACAGAGGCGAGCGAAACCTTGGGCTTTCCGAGGCTGGTGGATTCCAAGAGCTGACCTTTCGCTGGGAGAACCCAGCCCTTAGCCATGGTACCACCGGGCCGGGAAAGAAGTCCATCCAAACCACCATGAGGCATGTTCCTGTGAAGAGCGTGAATCCTGACTCAGCACAGGCCAGGCCGGAGGAAGGTGCCTCAGGGTCTGTCTTTTCAACATTTCTGGGAAAGAAATCGGGTATCGGACTGTCTCCTCCCAGAAGCCTCCGGACGTAGATCTGACCATTCCCGGTCTCGGCAAGTTGAACATTTTCGTGAGTCAGTGCTCCGGGTCATTTTGGAGTTACATTCTCTGCCCTCAGAGCTTTACTGCTCCACGTGTGGTCCAAGTGGAATTTGCAAGGAGCGCTGGGGGCCTACTCATGCTCAGGGGGGCTGCTGACTGCAAGGTCCGCAGTCGGGGAGGAGGCTGCCTGCTTCCATCTGGATTCACAACCGTGAAGCCCTTGCCTGGGGCTGCTGTGAACTGGAATCGACTTGAAGGCAGCGGGTTTGGGTTGCATTAGGGGGTGTGGATGAAAGAGCCCCGGGGCTGCTGTGGGTTGGCTGTGGGGCCGGCAGTTTGAACCCACGGAGGGAGAAAGACGAGGCTGCCTGCTCGCTCCCAGAGAGGTGTGTCATCTCAGAAACCCTGTGTTGGTCACTACGAGTCAGAGTTGATTCCGTGGCGGTGGGTTGAGTGTGGATGAAGGAGCCCTCGTGGCTGATGGGTTAAGCATCAGCTGCCAAACGAACGTGGAACCCACCAGCAGCCACTCAGGAGACACGGTGTGGCCGTCTGCTTCTGCAAACATTCACAACCTTGGGAATGCTGACAGGGGGGCCTACTAGATCCCTTAGGCCCCCCCCCCCAAAAAAAATCAACTCACAGCAGGGGGTTTGGTTTGTGTTTTTCAGGGAGTGGGGAGGGTGTGATGATGTTCTTGTTAGGGGCCATCCAGGTGGTTCCAACCCATAGCGCCCTGTGCAGCAGCTCGAAAGGTTCGGCGGGAGCTTGGGAAGGGCCAGCGAATTGATGTCAGTTGCGGGCGAAGGAGGGTAACAGTGGTCGTGCACCGCCAAGGACACAATCAACGTCCCTGGGTGCTACACGCAGACACTCCAGATGGGCCACCTTTTACCGCCAGATGGTGTGGATTTGGGGATATGTTCAACCACAGACCAATCCTTTAATGTTGTTGTTGTTGGTGCAATGTATCTAAGAATGTTTTGGCATGCAGTTAACAAAACTCCCGTGAAACCTGTGACTTAGACTACAAACCGGGCAACCTGTCCTACAGACACCAAGGTCACCTGCCTGGGGCGGAGAGAGCCTCTCCTTTTGGACTTCGCTTTGGTTCCGATCCAGTGAGAACTTCTGCGACTTAAGAAGGTCCGATTGCCAGACTTCTTTTTTAAGCTGAGTGTCTTAGCAAAAGACGGATTTGGTTCAACCCAACATAGAAGCAACTGAAAAGGAGAAGTGAGCAACACGGTCTCAAAAGAGGAAAGGAAAGCGAGTCCGTCCCAAGGTTTAGAAGGAAACGTCAACATTACCACCATCGTCCTGAAAATGAGTCCAGAATTCACGTGACCTTAAAAAAAGAGGTACAAGACTTCAGTCAAAGGGGTGTGTTACCTCATGAAAGCCACTTGGGTGCCATTTGCTGCATTGTTCTGGAAACGGCGGTCCCTTCGCTAGCCATTGTGGGAAACAGCCTGCTACACCCTGAACAAGCGAGAACCAGGAGTGCTCATGATCCAGCAATCCCACTCCTGGTCCTTGCCCTAGGGAAGAAGAGGGGTGGCACAAACAGATATTGGCGCACCCATGGTCATCGCAGTCTTACACACAAGAGCAAAGAGATAGAAACAAGCCATACGTCCATCAGTGGGTGGATGGATGGATGGATGGATGGATATGGATGGAT